TATTTTCCTTTCGCACGTTGATCCGGAACGATCAAAATTCGAACTCACTGATTGGTTATTTCCTTATTAGGAGTTTGTATTACCGACACAAATAAGTAAAGCCACGGCTTTTGCAAAAGGGCAAAAAAAAAAGATCTTCGGAAAAACAATTTTTAGTTATAAGTTTTATAATAAATCATAAGCAATTACAAAATTCAAAGAGTTATGATGCATAATTTTATTAATACAACTACTTTTGTGTCTTAAGTGAAAAATGATCTGGACCTTATTCTAAATTAATTACGTAAAAAAAATTAATTTTTAGAACTAAAAATATAAATATAAAAATTTGCAAATTTTTAATTATTCAGATATTATAAATTATAATATTTTGTAATTCTTAGATCAATTTTAATAAATAAACTATTTTTAAAATTAACAATTTTTTTACAACTTTATTTAGAAGCTCAACAAACTTTAATAAATAAATAACTAATTGTATACAAAATATAATCAAATATCTAATAACAAACTTTCTTTTTGCATTACTTATATATAAAAAAACCAATAGAAAAAAACAAATCATTTTTAATATTTTTTAATTTTTAAATTAAAATATTTAACAACTATTTATTCAAATTTGGTAAAAAATTTTTATTTTATTTTTAAAGTTGTATAGAATTAATATAAAAAAATTTATTAAATTTAATTAAATTTAATTAGATAGCTGTTAAGATATTTAAATTTATAATTAAAAAAAACTTTTACTTAGACAAAATTTGTTTCTTTTTTTTATTAACTAACTGCATATTTTATTTTGAATACTAAAACTAGAAAATTTGTATACCAATAGTAGAAATATCTCTTTTCTAAATTTAATACACTTATATGTTTTTAAATTACGTATTATATTTCAGCTACAAACACACAATTCTACGTATTTATTTTCTATATAGTATACTTTTAAATATAGTTTTTTGCTTATATATTAAAACCGATAGTTCTATTTGTAAACATAAATATTAATTATCTACATTTAAAAAAATTAAAGTTTATTGTAAACATAAATATTAATTATCTACATTTAAAAAAATTAAAGTTTATATTAGTTTTATTTGTAAAAATAAATTTTTATATTAGTTTTATTTGTAAAAATAAATGTTAATGATCTACACTTATATAAATTAAAGTTTATATAAAAATAAAAAATCTTTTTTAAAGTTTATTGTATTATCGTTATTGTTATAGGCTATTGCTTTAGATATCTTAAAAATAAGAAATGATTTGCGTACGTCAATTTTTCGACCAATAAAATTGTTGACATCAAAAACGTTGTTATTTTATTTGTCAAAAAAATAGACGTACATTACGTTACGCAAAACTTTCCTCTTTGCATAGATCTACGCAGTATTGCATAAAATTACACTGATTTTACAATTATTGTAAAAGCAGTGATAGTTTCTTAGCGTGATACTTTAACCTTTTTAATATTGCAAAGCCTGTCATAAATAAAGATTTTTTGGAAGTTCGTGTAACTTAACTTTTCGATTAAACAACTGCCATAGCGTCACTAACCTAGAAAATTTCGTTATCTGCTCAAATTAAAATTTAGGATTGAATCTAACATAACATTAAAAAAAAATGCATCCTAATACCGATAGCAAACTTTTTATATTATGATGCTAAGTCCGAAATTAACCTGGATAGAGTACTAAGCAAACTTGTATCTCTTTCTTTGCTTTACAACATATTTAGTCCGTATCTTTGTTTTAGAACTCTTAATTTAATTGGCGGGTATCCCCATGTGACAATCTTTGTTTCTCAATTTTAAATTCCAGTCGAAATTACGCTGCTAGTCCAAATAATGAAACCCCTGCATAGAACATAAAATTTTATTGCGTAGTGTTTTGGGTAGCGCATAGCGTTGCCAACAAAATTACGTATGATTAATCATCACATACTATATCTTATATGTATTGTACGTGAATTAAAAAAAAAAATTACTAGTGCCGGTAGTTATTTCCTTGTGACGGTTAAGATTACGTAATTTTGTTGGCAACGCTAGTAGCGCATAAGCCATTCGTACACGTGGTGAAAATCAAAAGGCCAATAATCAAGGGCGTAATCACGTGGCCAATGCCAATTTATTGTTAAATTTTGATTAATAATATATTGATACGTCGAATGATTAGTAATAATAAAAAATCGGAAATCATATGGCTGCGACCTCCATTATTGGCGACGCTGGAACCAACGTAAAAATTATAGTAACGATGTTCAAGTATCGTTTAATTTCGTGACATAAGATTAGAATGTGATTTGGATTTTTACAAATTTTTGTTTTCAATCTGATAATTATTGTAAAGTTGTTACAGGCAAGACAAATATACGAATATTCGTTAAATTTGAGTATTAAACAAATAACGGATCGCATTACTCCGTTGGTCATACACAAGAATTATTAACTGTTAAGCCATAGAAGCTTAAACTACACATTGTCGACGACTTTTAAATTTTTATGTGATCTGATATGACGATAGAGTTGATCTACGTAAAAGGCAATGCTTCTGGAAGTAGATAGTGCAACTCTTTATTTTAAGGGTGACACTAGCATAATGAAACATAATGAAACATAATGAATAGTTATGTTATGCTTGGGTCATAAGATCAAATGCCAGTTGTGTATGCTTGAATAAAAAATAACCTAATATCAACTGTATCATTTCAGGAACCAATCGCTATGAGAAGCACGAAAAAACCTTTCAAACAACCTTTCAAACAGCCTTTCAAACAACTTAAACAGGATGTTGATTTGAAGACCAAAGACATCCATTTAACCTAATTAAGTAAATTTATCACGCAATCAGGATAGGATAGATTATTTTCCTATCACAAAATAACAAACATGTATCTTTAAACAAAGTACTTTAGTAATGGCGTATGTGTAATGATGTAAAGTTTTGATACGAGTATTTCTATTTTAGTGATTAAATCCTATCCTATTTCATACTCTAATAATCCCATACTTTAATAATTATTTAACGAAAACTGAAAAACAGCTCTCAAAAGACTATCTATATTATTACTTACATTCGTACAGTAACTCCTGATTTCTCTACTTAATATACATGAAATCGAAAATTATTTAATTATTTCTAGAGTAGCTTTACAGTGTCTTGATTTATAAAGTCCGTGTTTTGTTTTACTTATATGTAATACTTTTTAACGTTTTGGACAACAAGTGTTGTTTGTTTTTCAGCTTTAACACTTATTACTATTTTAGGCATGTTCCAGATTTTTTGTCTTTGATTCAATCCTTTTAGAAATATTTCACGAATCCTTTTCAATGAATATCATTCCTATATTTAAATTTAGAGTTAATATCGGTATGCAAACAACGCCTGATACCACATTAATTGCCTGATATTGATGTTTGTAGGTAAATATCCCGAACTTTAAATATTGTAATATCTAGGTATCATAGATTTCGTTCTAAAAGTTATATATAAAGTTATACGTACTAGACAATTTTTTTTCTAATTCCTAATCTTGAAGATACGCAACTACACAGAAAGTATGTGATCTATCATAAAAAATCAACGTAGCGCATTACTATCATTAATATTAATACTATGAATCTCTTATACTGTCTTATGTTTCATTAGTGACTGAATGTTCAAATCAGTTAGAAAGCGTTTCTCATGTAAAAAGTTATGAATATTCTGATTTTAAAGAAGTAAAGCGTATTGGAAATGGAGGATTTGCACTTGTTTACTCTTGCATGCTTCAAGAAGAAAAATATGCATTGAAAGAGCCAAACAATAATTATCTTGATGATGATAAATTCAAAAAAATCGTATCTGAGGTAAATATTATTTATTACACATTTGGCATTCAAGTTCCTTACCATTGCCATTATTGTCACTTAACAATTAAATTCTATATTATATTGAACAATAGCTTAAACTGGTTGATCATCCAAATATTATTAAATTCTATGGAATTTCAAAAAGTATGTCATTAAAAATAAACCTAAGTAAAACCTTTATCACGTTTAACATTATCACGTTTAACATAATCAAGTTTGACACAATGAATTTTGTTAGGTCCACAAAGTAATTTTACACTAGTGTTACAATATGCTAATGGTGGAAATTTACAAGATCATTTACGAAGTAAACAAAATAGAAATGAATATAAAATTTCGTGGACTGAATTAGCTCAATTTGCAAAGGAAATTACCAGTGGATTATCATATTTGCATTCTAATGAAATAATTCATCAGAATTTAGTGAGTTTTTAAACATTCTAATTTTCATACGTATTTTCATATTTTCATGTTCTCATATTTCAATCGTATTTATGAATTTTCAAACTTACTTGCATTTAATTATCTTTAGAGCTCAAAAAATATTTTGTTAAACGATGGTAAAATATTAATTACGAATTTTGGAATGTTAAGCGATGCTGCTTTTATCGGTTCAAATATGCCAGGTATGGCTGTACGGGACAAAAACTCGGATATTTACAATTTGGGAATATTACTCTGGGAACTCTCAAACGGAATTCCTTCTTTTGCTACCTATTATGTGACGGATATAATCCAAAAAATTGCAAAAAATAAAAGAGAAAGAACTTTTACCAATACTCCTCCAGATTATGTAAGACTTTATGAAAGTTGCTGGTTTCCTGAACCAGAAAAACGTTTAACACTGGATAATATCTTAAACGAAATTGAGAGGCTTACTGTTGAAACATCTATCGAATTCGTTACTGTTTACGAACCATTGGAAACTTTTCAACCTATTTCATATACACCAACCGAGGAAGTTGAAAAAGTTAAAAAGTTTGAAAAAGTTGAAAATACTTTTAGTATTTCATCAAAAGATAATTTTGAAAGTAAATAATAATATCTTACTGTAAAACTTAATACAGTATTATATCTTTGTACATTTATATAAATATTTAACTTTTTGAACTGTATATATATAGGCAAATGGGAGAATGATGGAGACGCAAAAGAATGTCGTAGGTGCCAAAAGCCATTTAATACATTTTTCAGAAGAAGGCATCATTGCAGGTTTGTGTTTTTTATTAATGTAATCAATTCCATTCAACTTTTTTTGTATAATTAATTTAATTTTCTTGACACGAAAATTAGACGATGCGGTCAAGTAGTATGTTATGAGTGTTCTAGCGAACGTATTGCTATGTCACCTGAGCAAGTTGTTACTCCATCTGGAAATGGAAAAACCAACAGATCCTCACATCGCGTATGTACTTTATGCTATGATATAATAAATGCGGAACGGGCAGAGGACGAAAAAAATGCAGGTGAGTAAAATCAATTACTGTAATAAGAATAAGCGCATTACTATAACATAATATCATTAAATTAAAATTTTCGATATAGTCACTGAATTAAATATATTGCTATTGGGAGAAACTGGAGTAGGAAAGTCTACTTTTATAAACGCATTTGCAAACTATATGAAATTTAAAAATCTAGATGAAGCAATGCATGGAAAGATGGATACATTAATTCCATCAATGTTCTCAATAACTGATGAATATTGCGATCTTAGAAACATTATAGTAGGTCAAGAAGATGAAAATGAATTTATTACAAATAGAGGAATGTCATCTACTCAAGGTTGTAAAAGTTATAAATTCCGTGTAGATAATAATACAGAAGTAAGATTTATTGATACACCTGGAATAGGAGATACTAGAGGATTAAATACCGATGCAAAAAATTTCGAAAAAATTTTAAAATATATTAGTCAATTCGATCAATTGAATGGAATTTGCATTCTTCTTAAACCAAATAATGCTCGATTAACTATAATGTTTAGATTTTGTATCCAAGAATTATTATCTCATCTTCATAAAGATGCTAGAGATAATATTGTTTTCTGTTTCACTAATTGTAGAGGAACTTTTTATCGTCCAGGTGATACTTTACCAACATTAAAAAAGCAACTATTGAATCTTAAATCAAAAGCTGATGTTGAAATTATAACTGATCACAATACATTATACTGTTTTGATAACGAATCTTTTAGATTTTTGGCTGCATTTAAACAAAATATTCTATTTGAAGAAACTGATAAAGAAATCTATTCCGGAAGTTGGAAAAGATCTGTTGATGAATCAAATAGACTTATTCGTTATTTCAAATCATGTAAACCTCACGATATAAAAGATACCATATCACTTAATAATGCTAGACAAATTGTTATGGATCTTTCCAAACCTCTTGCTGAAATTTGTCAAAATATTCAAATCAATATTGCTTTGGCTGAAGAGAAAAAAGATGAAATTAAAAAATCGGATTTAACCATTGCTGATCTTAAAGGCAAATTACATCTTCCACAAATTGATCTTAAACCAATTCAATTGAATTATCCTAGAACTGTATGTACCAGTTCATCCTGTGTTAAAACTTTAACCGTCGGTAAAACAAAAATGAAAAAGATTGATTACATCACTCATTGTCATAAACGGTGTTATTTACAAGGTGTTGAATGTAATATTATAAACAATTCGGCTCTTTTGGGTTGCACTGTCATGGCAGGAACTAAGAAATGTCAAGTATGTGGTTGTTTATGGAATAAACATATGCATATCACTTATGAAAACGAACAAATCTCCGTTGATAAAGTTGATGAAAATATTAAAATTTTAATCAGTGAAAAGCAATCCGATCAAACTATAAAGGCTGCTTATATAAAAGATCTCGAAAAGAGGATTAATCAATTGAAAGAAGAGAAAAAGACCATAAATAAAATTATTGTAAAATTTGCTTTATTTTTAAGACAAAATGCCATAGCAGCTTTTAATGATGCTTATGTTGATTATTTGGATCATTTTATAAACGAAGAAAAAATTAAAAAAAGGTGCTAATCTAAAGACTTATAATAATAAAGTACTTGAAGAACTCGAAACTTCAAAAAGAGAATATGTTGAAAAAATGGAAACTATTAAAGATGCAATTGAAGCTGATAAAGTTTCTTCGGTTCCAATTTCTCCTGATGATATTAATAAATTAGAAAAACAACTACTTAATCTTACTATTTCGGGTCAAACTTTACAAAAGATGAAAGATGAAACTAAACGTGGTCAAATTAATTCTATAAATTATCATGAAATGCATCATCATAATTCTTCTAGATTTTCTACTAGTATGAGACAAATTTTTTCTTCTAGTAAACTTTATTCGTATAAATTCCTATAATATTAGAATAGGTTACACGTTTTATCATCATATTTTTTCATGGCAATCTTTTATTTTCATTTATAGTATATTTCAATTTATTTAGTGAATATTTTATTATTTTTGTAAATTGTTATTAAAGATCTCTCATAAAAAAGAGAATAACTTGTTTAAATTGTTTTTTCCTGTGAATTTTAAATTAATAATGTCCGAAACAAAATCCATTTTTACAACAAACACGCTGAGGTAGGGCAGCTGTTTAAAATTGAAAAAACCTGTGATCTAAGTTACGTATCTTGTTTTACGGATTTATGTCATTGATAAGTAGCAATTTATAGGAAATAATAAAAATTTCAAGTATGTCGCCACGCCAATGACTGGTGAGTTGTGCACGTGTTTTTAATGTAACGGTTGAAAGGGAGAGCGATGCGTAATGAATGAATGCGCAGTGTAGCTTCAACCGTTACTAGAAGTGATATAGGAATTCTTAAAGGATAAAATAATGATTAGAGAAAATCATTATGACTATTGCTACTATGTTGAAAACGGAATTCCCCTATTTTTAAAAATAGACGCATCACTTTTTTTTGTATTTTGATTAATTTGGACGTT